ATGTCGTTTTAACGAGAAAAGATGTCGTTTTAACGAGAAAAGATGTCGTTTTAATGAGAAAAGATGCCGTTAAAACGAGAAAAGATGTCATTAAAAAGACATAACATCTGGTTATTACGACATAATTGAGTGGATAAAATAATATGTGTGCGGCAGCAATGCGTCACCGTAACCAATGATATACAAAAGTGTCCAAAATTTAAGAAACATGCTAAAAAAAACATACTGTGTGTATCATTGTAACAGTCAATGTATGTGAACAGGGGCGTAGTTTGTGTGTGTGTGTGTGTGTGTGTGTGGGGGGGGCCTCCAATATTTATGCCATGGTTAATGGAAACCTCGAATCAGGCTATTAATTAATTATTTGAATCGCGCCTTCAGCAATTTTATAAGCGCTAACTTTACTTACGAACCGAACGGAGCAGTTTGTCAGCACAATATGACTGTAGCGCAGTTCATGAGCGGCGTGCGAATCACCGTATACTCTGCGTGCGTTCACCAGTGCGCTCGAGAAGTGTGATAAGATTTGCTCGAGCCTCTCCTATCGCAAAGCTGATGGTCAAATATGAGATCTATTTAAATTATTTAGAGAAACAGCCACTTTAAAATGCTATGGGAAAAGTCGAACAGTAGCTAAGAAAAGGCAAATAAACTAAAAAGACTAATGGAAAGAGGAGAAAACCAGCACTAACATATATTAAAATCTTTTTAAACTAGGCCTACTCATGACCACCTTTACTAGAATTTATCACGTTTTATTGTAGGCTTATTTATTGTGTAAAACTGTTTCTAACTTGTAGAATTTATATTAGATAATCTGTTAAGGGAATAGATTTTTCCCTATAGATTTTTATTACTACTGTGGCATGTTGTAGCTATTGGTTCTAAATGTGCAGGCGGTTGTTTCTTCATAACAAATGCTATATTGTTTAATTACAATGTTCAATGTTCAAACCAAAATTACATCCTTATATGTGAACATAACACAGGCATCAGCTGTTACAATGTTACACACTGTTCGATTTTTTTGCGTCACTGTATCATATGCATTGCTAAATGTTCACCACTACAGAAACCATAATGACTTGGCATGGCAGTATGATAGATTCTAATTTCATGTAGGAAATTTGCACAGTAGACCCTCTTCTCACTCAATCTATGATGACGCATATCCTTTCACATTGGACACCACTGGAATTTACTGTATTTCCTTTGTGTTGCTTAGATTTGCGCTTCCTAGTGTTTTATCAATGTAACACACTGATATGAAAGTGGAGAAATTCTATATATTGATCCTTCACCTGCAAAGAGTTGGAAACTGCTTTTTCATTCAGTCTTCAATTCAGTAAACTTTCTTTTATTTCTCTTGAACACACTCTATGTATGTCATTTTTTGGGTACATAAATATTTTTCCTCTTATCTATTATCTATTACATAGCGTTATTTTATTTATTTATTTTATATAGAACATAAAATATGATTTTTTAGGGAGAACTATTTTTCTCACAACAGTAGTTTATAGTTACCATTGCCATCAAGCCCCAAAAATGACAGATGGGCACCATAAGGTAACATAAAACTAGCATAAATCATGTGTGAGCTATATTAACATTTTTTCTTTAAGTCATAAAAATGCCTTGTATGGAAAATAGACCAACATTTTTGGGACCAATATCTTCCTCTCCAATGAGCTGTCGCCTCCAGAACTGCTAAATGAATCATTCTTTTGAGCTGGTTGTCAATGAATCGTTTGAATGATTCATTTTCATATTGAACTGATTTGTTCCTGATTCTGACTTAATTGTACAGTCTCTGTAGTTCTTAAGTTAAGATCTCACTGTAAGGGAAGATCACCAGTAAATTTTGACTTCAGAAACATGAAGTGTTACAGACTATGTTTATGGTTCTTTTGGTGTTTATTTATCAGAAGCTTGTTAGCCTGTATAACTAAAATATATTGCCAAAAGTAGATGGACTCCTCCCTTAATGGTTTTGGAAGCTGTACAATGTTTGAAATCTTAATGCTGCAGCAAGCAGTGACATTCTGGAGAATTATGGGCTGCCAACTTTGCCAAAGGGCCCTTTTTGGCCCTTTTCTTTTTGTGCCCAAAGTGTAGAAATGATCTACTCTTTGTCCTCACCAAAATGACAGGAGTAGCCAAACTCGAGCTGGAATTGGCTGTACAGTGTAATACTTCAACATCACTAAGCCATACATTTACCCTACAGTGAGTATATCTGGGTTGAAGACAATTTGCATTTGACCTCCAGGTTTAATGAAGATAAAGGATATTCCAGACTGAATATTGATTTATTGGTTCCAATTGTAAATTGATCTTTTAAAGGAAATTGTAGAGATATTTACCTCTTGCATTCGTATTTAGATACACTAATTCAGTCTCGGCAAATATGGCAATAGTTCAAGGTGAGATATGGAGCAGTGTGGTAGTTAAACCCATGTTTTGAATGCTTGAGGTTAATTGCATTGTATAAATTGCTTTGAAATATACAAAGCCCCTAAGGCTACATGGTGATAAAAGTAAAATGAGATGGGAGAGAAAAAAATATTTTAAAGCTTTTGCATTCTCTCGAAATTTTGCATTCCCCCAACAAACTTTGCATTCACTTGCAAAACGTTTGTGATGGAACTAATATGAAGTGGGATG